CAACATGGTGAAACCCCGTCTCTACTAAGAATACAAAAATTAGCCAGGCATGGTGGCGGGCACCTGTAGTCCCAGCTACTCAGGAGGCTGAGGCAGGAGAATTGCTTGAAGCCGGGAGGTGGTGGTTGCAGTGAGCCGAGATCTCACCATTGCACTCCAGCCTGGGGGCCAAGAGCGAGACTCCGTCTCCAAAAAAAGAAAAAGAAAAAAGAAAAGCTTTAGACAAATTTAGCAGAGTTTATTTGAAAAAATAAGCAAATCATGAATTGAGCAGCATCCTAAACTAGTAAAGACTCGGCTGGGCATTGTGGCTCACACCTGTAATCTCAGCACTTTGGGAGGCTGAGGCAGGCAGATCACCTGAGGTCAGGAGTCCAAGACCAGCCTGGCTAACATGGTGAAACCCCATTTCTACTAAAAATAGAAAATATTAGCTGGGCATGGTGGCACACACCTGTAATCCCAGCTACTCAGGAGGCTAAGGCAGGAGAATGGCTTGAACCCGGGAGGCGGAGGTTGCAGTGGGCCAAGATTACACCATTGCATTCCATCTTGGGCAACAAGAGTGAAACTCCATCTCAAAAAAAAAAAAAAACCTAAACCAGTAAAGGCTCGAAGAACTCCACCTGACTATGTGGTCAAATAGTACTTACAGACAGAAAAAAAGTAATATATAGAAATAGCCTATTCACAACTTGAAATTTGCCTTATCTGGACAGGTCTAAGCAGTCTGTAGTCTGCGATTGGCTGAAAGCTCAGTTGCAGTGATTGGCTGAGACTCAGCTACTTGTTACAAGAAATTCTCATGTCAGGTTTGTTTACATATTAAGCTGGGTGTCAGTTCACTATGTATGGAGGCAGCTTTAAGCCAAATTTAATCTAATTTAACACCTCCAGCTTGAAAGACAAAACTAAACCAAATCAACAAAGAAACAGAAAAAAGAAAATTCAATGATTTATGTGCATGCATAACTTTGATAAAAATAAAAATGATAATTATTTAAATTGGTAATTAGAAAATAGATAGCTATATCCTCAGGTAACAGATGTCTCTAGGTGGATGAGATTGTGGGTGGTTTTTCTTGTTGTTGATATTTTCTGTGCATCTCTAAAAAAACATCTAATGCTTTGCAAAGAACATAAGAAACAGATTAGTACCTTGGTGGCCTTGGAGGAAACAATCTCAATAAAACATGTGTTTATTAATGAATGTATTCCCCCATCCCTTTCCAAAAAAGTTCATAGGTGTAGTTATAGTAAAAAGTAACAGGCAGTCTTGTCAGAGCCAAGTAACCCACCATCCTGGTTTGCCCAAGACCAGGCAGTTTCCCAAGACGCTGGACTTTCAGTGCTAAAACCAGAGACGTCCCATCCATACTGGAAAAGTTGATCACTCTAGTCTGTGTAATTTGCAAAGACTCTCCATATCCCTCGGTTCCTATGAATCTCAAATCCACCCGGTGAGGTCCAGGTGGGTCAGTGGATGGTCACCTCCATTTCAGAAGAGAGGCAGCTAAGGCTCAGGGAAGCTCCCTATCCCTGACCCAGAAAAAGCCTTAGGAGAAAGTGATCTTTTAAACTATGTGCATATATCACTTTGATAAAATTAAAAATTAGTTTTAAAAAAGAGTGAGGGCTGGGCACGGTGGCTCACCCCTATAATCCCAGCACTTTGGGAGGCCAAGGCCGGCAGATCATGAGATCAAGAGATCGAGACCATGCCGGCCAACATGGTGAAACCCCGTCTCTAC